GTCAACTACAGTTGCAGGGGACAGTAAGGGTCGGACATCAGCACTTTCAGCTACAACCCACCCCTGCAACTGACACTTCAGGTTTCAAATAGAGTCCATTTGACAGCTATATGCTGCCATCTTAATTTGGTTATACCAAGGCACATAATTAGAGACCTAGAGACAATTTACCTGCTAAGACACAGACAAGAGCAGTGGGTGATGGGAAGAACCCAGAGAGCTCCGTTGACCTCCAGCAGAATGACTTGTCCCTGGCTCTGTCAATCACATGTGCATATTGTTTTCCTCCTGTTCATGGTTTGAGACACACGTGCCTGTGTGGTAAGGTGCTGAGAGGAATGACTCATGCATGCTAATGAAGGACAAGCTGACAAGTACAGAGAAGCTTCTCCCAAGACATGGAAATACTAGCCAGCTTCCTAGTCTCTGGTCCAAAAGGGCACTGGCCCTGCCCACTCACACCCAAAATGTCAGGCCTCCTGCTCAACACCTTCTGTAGTGAGCTGGTGACCCGGACCACGGCAGATCCTCGGCACAATCAAGGGCTTGTCAGAGAGTGCTCATTAAGATTGTTTGTGGATACTTGAGCCTGTCCACCTTTGGTCCAGGCAGGCACAAAGATGCCATTGTGGGACCAGCACCCATCTCCAGAGCCTTGAAGTGTGGACACCCACACAGGAACTGAACCCTTCTCCAGAGCTGACCTTCTGGGTCTCAGGGCAGGTGGCCAAGTTCAGGAACTGTAGAGTAGGGGGTGAAAGGCAGAGTTCCTACTGGGAAGGAAGCTGGGCCAAGGCCTGAAGACAGGGCAGCCAGGGCAGACAGACATCATGGACTCAGAACACAGGCTGTCACATGAAGTCATAGTGCCTCTTGCATAATTTACCCAAGGGGAAAGAGATCTGGCCATGCTGAGAGCCTGTAGTGCTCAGAGCTAATGAGGAGAAAGCTGTGGACTCCAGAGGAACCAAGTTCAGCAGCAGCACAGGGGTGGGTTCAGGACAGGCAGTGATGGATGCTGGTTCATCATCGCACCTCAGGGCACAAGATGGCAAGAAATGAACACACATGGACCTCAGTTGTACCAGGGCAGCCCTGGCTCTGAAAATGCCCTCTCAGCAGGTCCTCAGATGACAAGAACAGCAGAAAGTTAAGTCCCTTAGTTGGAGATGAATCCCCCTGGGGACACGGAGCCGAAGCCCTCTTTACAGATCCCTTCAGGGTCTGTGTGGCTGGAAATGTTCATGCAGCCAACTTAAAATTGTGAACTATGGAAATTGTATGGTAACTGGTGGTTGAGTAAATGGGCACTGGTCAGTCAGAGAAAAAGGACCAAGACATCTGAGAGTAAGAAGTGGTCTTCAGAGGGCACAGCTGGCCTCAGTGCAGAATGAAGGGGGTCAGGGTCATGGTGCGCCTAGTGTGGCATGGGGTCTACCCTGATGATGTTTAAGCTGACTAGAGTCAGGAGTTTGTGTCCCCACTTACAGGAAGGTCCAGGTGGGGATTCCATGCAGGGATAGGACAATGAAGAGGGCTCCGTCCAGGCAGGGCCCAAACCATCTGGGAGCTAGCTAACATTCTCTGGGGGTGAAGCCCAGCCCTGTTCTGAGCAGCAGGAGGTCAGAAGCCAGGTCTCAGGGGATGTAGCTCAGGGAAGCCATGGCAGATGGAGGGCAGGGATGGGAAGAATACCCTGGCTCTCTCTTCCTGCCCAATCTCGCTGCACCTGAGTCACTCGCCTTCCGCAGGGTCCTTTGTGAGCACAACTCTTGGTGACACAGACATTGCAGGGCATTGTGTGTTTTTCTTCATTTGTAGGTGACATTGAGCTGATATTCATCAGATCCCAACAACAACAACCTTCCACCTCCATGATGGATGTAGATTTGGCCATGATAGAAGGACAGGAGGGACGTGGCCAGTGCCAAGTGGGCACACATCCCTGGCCATGGGGGATATAAAGGGCACCCTGTGAGGCGCCAGAGCAGACATTCTCCAGGTGACCTGCCTTGTGTGAGAGCCCAGCGACTGACTTTGCTTCTGGGGCTGGTGGCTGTCCTGAAGGCCCAGGATGCCCCCATTGGATGACAGATATGAACTAGTGAAGGACAGTAGGTGGTGGTAAGAGAAAGACATGAACTCTGGTTCATCTGCTGATGGATATGAATCTTGGTTCAGGAAATGTCTTTAAAGGCTGAGTTCCACCTTCTCCTCTGCCACACACGCATGTCTGAAGCACTCAAGTCAGATACTCTGCTGTTTTACCAAAACACAGGGGTCTTCAAGGGGCACAGGACTAGAGCAAAGAGCAGAGTTAGGTCACAAGTCCTTGTTGAATTGACACTAAGAACCAGAATGACTCATAGGCTAGGAGTCACTTATAGAGGAAGTGCCTTCTACCAGGTTCAAGTTGCCATGGTTTGGATCTTTAGGGGACAGACACCCTTTGCCTATGCTGGGTCAGTGAACCTAAGTACTACAGTCTCTCTGTTGGGCCAGATTGTGGAACTATATGGTCACTACTGCAGGGGCTGCAGCTTGTGCTTTGGAATGTCTCTTCAGGGATCAAGGCAGTGTGCTGGACCTTGGGGGAGAATCGGGACTGGTTGGGGTGGGCTCAAGACCCTTTCTGGTAAAGTTCTCAGGAGCCTGGTACACAAAGGCCATTATGTACAATGAAGGTCTTCCCAATGTAGGTGACAGCTCTGGAAGGAGAGGACTTAGAGACCAAAATCACATTCTGGTGAGTGTCCCCCACCACAAATCTCTGAAGTTGCCTTTCTGTTCTATCCATTATTTTGGTATGGGTGATAGAAATCCTGTGCCTTTGAAGAGACAGGGTCCTAGGTAATGCCCAAGAGTTATTGGGGTTGGACATAGGATTTGGGTGTGTCATCTGACCATGATAGATGCATCAGGAATCTGAGTTTACTCTTATGGCTGCGACAAACACCAAACACTGTGGCCAAGGGCAACTTGGTGACATTGGCTTCCATGTCCCTGTCACAGTCCATCAATGACGAGGGCATGAACCCTGGAAGAGCACTACCTACTGACTTGCTCCCCATGACTTACTCAGCCTGCTTTCTTTATCCAGGACCACCTGCCCAAAAGTGGCACTGCCCGCAGTGGGGTAGGCCCTCCCATATCAAAACCTAATCAAGAAAATGCCACGTACACATGCCCCAAAGCCAGTCTGATGGAGGCAAGTCTCAGCTGAGATTCTCTCCTCCCAGGTGGCTCTAACATGTCAAGGTGACAAGAATTAACCAGCACAGCTCTGACCAGCAGTGCTCCTGAGAGCAGCTGTCTGTGGTCTTACGTTTTACAGGAGAAGGGGTCACTGTCATGACTTTAAAATCTTGATGAGGAAAAGTGACAAGCGTGGCACATACACTGCCTATGAGTCCCTTGTAGCCCAGGGTTTCCTGCAGTGGATAGATAGTTCCTGGGCATACAGCTTCCAGGACAGGGCATCCATTCACTTTCCGTGTACCAGACATTAGAGGCTTGAGTTGGTCCACCCCAGGTACTGACTGGTTCTTGTTCCTCAACAGCTCAGTTTATGACCCATGGGAACCATGCGAAGAAATAGGAAGCAGGCGGGGGTAGGGGACAGTGGGGAGGGGGTTGTTCAGGCTTGGGACAAAGTTCATCCCTTATGCTCTCAGGATTTCCCAGCTGGGCTCAGCGGTGTCTAAGAAATAGATCATGCTTAGATATGGGGAACCACAGCAAGGCCAGTGCTGGACTAGCTGAGTCTCCAGGGCACCCCCAAAAGTGTTCCAGAGTATTCTTTCACACAATCTCTAATAGTTATTCCATGAACGAGATGCTAAGTGTTACTTCTCTGTTCACCTGAAGGTAATGGCAGGAAGACCGTGTACATTGAGGAGCTTCCCGTGAAGGACTGTTACATCTTCTACTCTGACGGCTGGCACCATGGGAAATATTTCAGCATAGGAAAACTCATGGGTGAGGAACCACAGAGATCTGTCCTGTCCCTAGTCTCTGCTTCCGGTAACTATGAGAAAGGCAGCAGCCATGCCTAGCACTGAGGGCTGGATAGCCTTAGCGCTGAGCCCAGGGTGCAGACCAAGCAGTATATGGGATCCGAAATAGAAAGTGGTCATCCGAGAGGAACCTGGCTTAGGTAACCTCTGGAGGCCTCGGCACTCAGGAGAGGTCCCCACCCCTGCAATTGGCAAATGCCATCTCTAAGGATCTCAGTAAGTACCTGTTGACATGAAGGTGACTAGCATGAAAGAGGCCATTATGTGTATGTAGTATCCTCCAAAGTCAGGGGACATCCCCCTGCGTCTGAGATCCAAGGCTCTTACTGGTCTGGGGAATGACCTCAAAAGCCTGGTAAGGTTCAGGAAGAGTCCCCCCCCCCCAAATCACTCGGTGTCTGGGAGGCCCCACCCCAGAGCTCCTTGGCCACTGTTCTATTCCCTCTTATCCTGGCTGCTCCAGGCCGACAGCCCAGATGTTGGCCAGTATCATTGACTCTCTGCAGAGCTGAGCCCACCCTCACGCCTCCCCACCTCCCCACAGGGAGAAACCCCGAGGAAAACCCAGAGGCTATGGAAGAATTTAAGAAATTCGTACGGCACAAGGGACTCAAAGAGGAAAACATCTTGGTCCCAGAGCTGAGTGGTGAGAGCAGGGCTGCCCATGTCTCTCCCTGTGTCCCCTATGCCACCTCTGAGTGTCACTGTCCCCAAACCAGGTCTGTCTGTATGCTTCTGTCTGTATGCCCTGTGACTGTGTGCTGTCTCCATCATGTCCTCAGTGTCATCCATAACTCAGTGCTATGAAGAAGACTCTCTGTCCCTGTGTCCCTCCAAATCTCCTGTGCGTCTGCTTCACTGTCTACCCCGCTCTCCTTCTAACCCCAGTTTCGGTACTGTACCTTCAAGGTCCCCTCACCTCTCACAGGCTGGCCAGGCCCTGCTTCAGGTCTTGGCTGTGGAGGGTCTGAGCTGCAGGGGTGATGGGGTCTGGTCCTCTTACAGGACCCTTCTCACTCCTGGGCTTCTTTTGGTTTCTACAGATAAGTGTGTTCCAGAAAGTAAATAGGGTGAGTCTCCCCTCCCCGCCCCCACTTGTAGGAATGTGGAAAAGCCTAGAATGCTGTGCTCAGAATTGGTAGGGGCCTCATCCCATCCACATGGACAGTGTGGCCACTAGGGGGGTGGTCCTTCCTAACTGTCATGACCTTTCCTAGACCCAGTCTCTGCCTTGCCCTGTCCTTTCCATTCTCTCCAAGAAGGCCGAGACCTGGCTACTCATAGGAATTTTGCAGGGATTGCTTCAGAGGGTCCCAGCTTCTAGTAGGCATCATACAGAAACTTGAGGGATAAGATCTCTGTCCCGCTGGGTGGTGGTGGAACATGCCTTTAATCCCAGCACTTGGGAGGCAGAGGCAGGTGGATCTCTGTGAGTTCGAGGCCAGCCTGGTCTACAAGAGCTAGTTCCAGGATAGCTTCCAAAGCCACAGAGAAACCCTGTCTCGAAAAACCAAAAAAAAAAAAAAAAAATCTCTGCCCTGGGCCAACCCTGCCCTGACTGCTGCTCCCACAATAGTGGGGGACTTATCTCTCTTCCTCTCTCTACCACAGCAGCTACCCAGGTCTGCATCTGCTGAGCAAGCTTTGCTTCCAACACCTGACTGGGACATCACTGCCCCCCCCCAAGCCTTGGCCTTCCCTAACCCCACTGAATCCAAATAAAGCCCTTTAGCAGGACTCTGGCCCAGCCTCTCTGTGAAGGGCCTTGTGTGGACTCTAAGAGCTCTGCTGGCAGCAGAGACGCGGGGGGGGGGGGGGGGTAAGGGGTAGCGTAGCGACATTGCCCAACAAGGACAGACCAGGAGCATGGCTTCTGACTTCCCCATAGAGCCACATGAGGTCCTAGAAGCCCCCACCTGGAGAGCCACTCACTGTCAGGCCAGGCCCTGGAGGAGTGTCTCAGAAGTCCTGGGGAGGCCCGGCTGTGTGGATGTCACTGCAGGGCTCCTGCTCAGCTGGACTTGGTGAACTTCTGGGAGGGCCCCTCCTTGAGAAGCCCAGCTCAGTGACAGAGTGGAGCAAGGGTGGCTAACTCCTCCCTCCATCATGTCCCCTCAGAAAGACAGAAGCAGCCACAGCCTCCACCAGCCCGCTCCAGCCCTCCCCACAGTTTCCCAAGGATCAGGGAGTGGGCTTTCTCTGTCCAACAGGGGCATGGTGGCCACATGAGGGAGAAGACCTCCCCCCCTTTCAGGTGATCAGTACAGATAGCCTCAAGGTGCAAACCCCACTAGAAGCTGGCTTTCCAGAATGTCACCTTTTGCTGAGGGACTGTTGGCACTCAGGCTAGTGTCCTCAGCTCAGTGACCCTCCAGCCTAATTCCCACCTGATTCACTGGTCTCTCTGAATTCCTTTCCTATCTGAACCTGGCTCTTGCTGGGAGCAATTGGGTGTTCCTAAGGTGGGGCAACTCTGCAGGGGCAGGTGGGGCCTGAGGCATCCAGGACACTTTGGAGGGCAGGGCCAGGCCAGGCTGGATCCCACAGACATACCTGGCCCTCTCTTAAGACAGAGTAACACTGAGGACCTGGTGTGAAAGCTCAGGAGCCATGACCGTGCCCTGGAGAAATGAGCAGAACCCTAGCAGGACACACAGTGAAGAGGGGCCTGCTTCTCTGTCAGCTGCCCCACCCTGGAGCCTTCTCTGAAACTTCTTGGGCTTCATTACTGTTGAAGGGAAGCAGCTGGGACTTTATTTTGGCAGAGACAACTTCCTCCTTCTGGAACTCTGAACCCATTCTCTTTAAAGATATACTGACCAATCGACCACCCTGTGGTTTGCTGGCCCCTTGTGACCAGGATGGAGCTTTTTAGGTAGTCTGATCACATGTTAGGGGCTGGGCAGTTAGCACTGTAAACATGTCATTTTTATACACAGTGTTCATGCACATATGCATTAGCCATGGCCTAGGTATGGAGCCGTGGTCTGACTTTACAGAGACAGCCCTCTCTCCAGTTTACATGGGTTCTGGGGATTGAGTCAAGTGGTCAGGTTGGTTATTTTGTTTTGGTTTTGTTTTTGTTTTTCAAGACAGTGTTTCTCTGTGTATTTTTGGAGACTGTCCTGGAACTGGCTCTGTAGACTAGACTGGACTCACACTCACAGAGATCTGCTTCCTCTGCCTCCCCAGTGCTGGGATTAAAGGTGGGTCATCAACACCCAGCAAGAGGAGAATACAGGTACTCCAGACTTGGGGCAAGGGCTTTTCAAAGGAGAGTCATAGTTTATTATATGGCAGGAGTAAATAGAAAGACACTCGCGGAATGAATAAAACATGCTCAATTCTCAAGGGAGAGTTGCTGTTTAGTTTTAGCTATATGTACTGTCTTGGTGGCTCTCACATAATGTCTCAAAATAAATATTAAAGATTACAGTCCCAAAATTATAAGAGCCAATCACGGAGTTTATTGTAAGATTTTGTCTCCTAGGGATATCAGAAGCTACCCCATAAGTTTCATTAGCATGGCTATCTAAACATGAGTTGGAGAAGTACAATAGACATACTAGGGTGGTTTGGGAACAAACAAGAAACAGCAAAGAACTACAGAAACTAGGGGATGCTGGAAACAGGAGAAAAAGTCTTTCCCAGGCAAGAGCACGTCAATTAGTTATCCAATACCTAATGGTCAGCCCTGAAAACACACACACAGTTAACAGTACATAGACTGAACAGGTTGTACCTATGTACCTATATAATATATAGTCATTATTATACACACATATATATCAACACTTAATGAAAAAGGAGGCTATGAATTTGAAAAAGAGCAAGCAGGACTAGATAGAAGGTGTTTGGGGGAAAAGAGGAAATGATGTAATTACAGTACAGTCTCAAAAAATGAATGAAATAGTAATTAAAAAAAATCTAGCCCAAATACCAATTTAAATTACTTGTGATCTTCTTAAAGACCTGAAAATTAACAGTGAACATAAAGTGTTATTTTTAAATTGATTGTTTTTTGTTTGTGTGTGTATAAAATTTTATGTGTAAGTGTATGTGTATGTGCCATGTAAAAACTCAAGGCATGGAGGTTTGCTTATAATCCCAGCACTGGGGAGGAACTCACTGACTGGCTAGCCTAACTGCTGATTACCAAGTCATTGCCTGGAACTCACAGAGATGGTCTGCGATGCTACGAGGCTTGGATTAAAGCATGTACCGCCACACCCAGCGTATCTTTGTCTAGCTTAAAGCATTGCCCTGTGTTTCCGAAACAAAGCCCTGTGCCGTTAGCCCTCATGTCTCACTCTTGCTGCCTCTTACCCTGCAAACTGTCTTTTGCTCTATGACTGAACAAACTCCACTGTTCACACATGGCATTTTCTTGATCTGTTCATCTCATCTGTCTGTGGGTGTCTAGGCTAATTCTGCATCCTGGCTGCTGTAAACAACATAGCAATCAATACAGATGTGCAGGTAACCCTACAGTACAACAACTTAGAATCTTTTGGGTATAAACTCGGGAGTGCTATTCAGTGGCTCATTCACTGATTCTAGGGGCCTCCAAACTGGTTTTCATAGTGGCTTCCCTATTTTCTATTTCTGTCAAAAATATATAAGGGTTTATTTTCCCTGCATTCCCCCAGAGTAATGGGTATTTGTTTTCTTTTTTTAATAAATTTTTATTTAAATTTTTAAAAATCTTATTTTTCATACCAATCCCAATTCCTTCTCCCTTCCATCCTCCCACTCCCCCCACCATATCCCCATTCTACCCCCCATCCACCCCTCAGAGAGGGTGAGGCCTCCCATGGGGGGGGGATCATCAAAGTCTGTCATATTATTTGGGGTAGGACCAAGGCCTTCCCCCTTGAATCTAGGCTGAGAAGGCATCCCTCAACAGGGAATGGACTCCAGAAAGACAGTTCATGCACTAGGGATAAATACTGGTTCCACTATCAGAGGTCCCATAGACTACCCAAGCCTCCTAACTGACACCCACATTCAGGAGGCTTAGTTCAGGTCCCCCAGCTGTCAGCCTGGAGTCAGTGACAGAAATTTCTAAGAAACTGTTGGTAATAGCTCATTTTCACAATATTGAATCCTCCAATCCGTGAACATAGGTGTTTTTTCTAATACTGTGATCTTTAATTTCTTCCATGCTTTGTGGTTTCTGTAGAAATTTAATTTTTACACTTCTTTTGTTAGGTTTGTCCTCAATATATTTCTCCTCCTGTTCTTCTTCTTCTCTGATACAGACATTTTCATGGTCTCGCAGTGTGTTTGTTATCATTATTCAATGTAGAAAAGCTAATATTTTTTCTTGTTGATTTTATATTCTATTACTTTGCTGAAAGCTTTTTAAAATCATATCTTAGAGTTTTATGGTGAATTTAATACAAAATAATATAATTTACATATAAGGATAGCTGAACTTACTCCTTTCTTATTTATTTACCTTTCATTTCTTTTCCTACCTTATTACTTTGGCTAACACTTCAAGTACCATATTGAATAAGAGTACTTCAGTTCTTCCCTAGTTAGAACAACATTGGTCACAGGTGTTTCACATGTGGCCTTTATTATGGTGAGGAAATTTCCTTCTGTTCCCAATTTCTTCAAGGCTTTTATCGTGAAAGGATATTGAAAGTCTTCTCAGCATTTGTTAAAGTGATCATGTGATAACTGTCTTAAAGTTTGGTGTTGGGTTTTAATTACTAATTTGTGTATACACTTGCATTCCTAGAATAAAACCAGCTTGGTCATGTTGCCTGACCATCCAATGTTGTTGAGTTCAGTTTGCAAGTATTTTATTAAAATTTTAGTACCTATGTTCAACAGAGAAGTTTATCTATAGTTTTCTTGTTATATTCTTTTAATGTCAAGATGATATTGTCTTTATAGGATGAAGTTGGCAGCAGTCCTCATTTATGGTCTAGTTTGAGGGGCACTGCTGCAAGTTCTCTTTAACTTTTGGGTAG